CCTTCGATGGTTGGGCAGCAGATGGTGGAGCTGGTGGAGCTTTGGATGACTGGGCGGGGGCGGATGGTTGACGACGGTCGCGGTTCGCCTCTCTCCGAATGCTGGCGTCCACCTCCTGGGCAATTGAAACAGCACGAGCATAGGTCTGGGCTCCGTGACCTACAATGTTGTGACGGACTACTGGGTAAAGCCCGTCAATGAAACGTTGTGCCCTCTGTGCCTCTGTACGCACCAAGTCCGGAATAAAGGCTGCGAGTCTAGTGAATTCTCTCTCGTACTAATCAATAGAACGAGTACCCTGCTTGAGCAACAGAAACTGATGCTCCATTTCAGCTCGGTAGTACGTGGGATAGTACTTCTCACGGATCAACTCCTTGAATTTGTCCCAGGTACAACCCTCTTTTTCGCCGGGACGCATACTCCAGTAAGCATTCCACCAGATTCGGGCATCACCGGTCAACTGAAGCTGTGCGCATATGACGCGATAGCGATCTGGACAATCCATGACCTCGAAAATCAATTCAAGGCCCTGAATCCATTCGTCTACGATACGCGGATCTCCCTGGCCGGAGAATTTCTCAGGGTGATAGTCGCGGAATTGTGCGACTACTGTAGCCTGGGGGACAACTGGACGATTGGGTTCCCTACGGGGTGGCATCTGAACATTGAAGAAGTTCAATATTATTGAACACATGAAAAATACATTAGCTGATTACTAAAGCACAAAAATCTGTTGACGAGTTGCCAAACATGACTGGAAAATACTAACATTAATCCTGATGGAACTAGAGTTAAATCTGAATATACTGAACTATAGGTTCTGAACCTAATTCGAGCATCTTAACTAAGTCATAATCGACAAATTTCTGAGCATAGACATAGTAATTTGTTTATAATTTAAAACATAAATCAACACTTACCTGTAGTCGGCTAGGTGTGAGCGTGACGGGTTCAGGTTTTCAAAAATTTCTGACTCGTGAAAATTTTCAGAGACGTAGAAATGTGCTCTGATACCAACTGTAACACCCTGCTATTTCATGAAAACCAGAGTGCGTTTTTCGCAAAATTTTCAAAATAAAAGCATTTATTTTGCGAATTCCTGATTCGTGCTACCGTAAAATCTGACTTTATCTGAAAACCGTTATATTAGTCTAACAACAAAATGGTAATAAAACATAGTAACCGACTGGAGTCGTATCAAAAGCTGGTTTGACAAACTGAAGTAGTAAGCGGAAAACATAGTGTAGCCAAAACATGTTTAAACATATATACAAACGTCCTGAACCGGTCGCCAGCTCACTCCTCGGCTCCGAACCTATGACCTGAAAAACATGAATAATGTGGGGGAGTGAGCACTAATCCACAGTGCTCCGCAGAAACTCATACTGAAGTAAACAGTGAAAATAATAACAATATCATGATCCTGACATATATAACTGAACTGATACTGAACTGAAACTGAAACCGATAATGAATAATCATGATCTGATACTGATATCGTGATAATCATCACCTGTCTGATAACTGAACATCTGCCAGCATAAAAATGTCGGACACCATGTGCACACTCTAGTGGGCAGATTAAGGCCACTAGAACCCAGAATGGACCGGCGACCATTCCGAGCGGATACTGACAATACACACCTCAAACATGGTAGAGTAATTATAATCAATGTAATACCCAGTCTGAGTCCCCACCTGATCCTTTGAAATGAAAAGGTAGTGCTGATATCTGAAGCCTGATCAAACTGAAATATAATATAAACAATTACTAAGTATTATGCTCAGACTGATAAAAATAGTTGTTAAATATGTTAAGATGCCCTACTGAACTTGACATGATATTTGGATTTAATCGGTATAACTAGAACCAGTTAAATACGGAACTCAACTGACATAAATTTACTGAACTGAACTGGACCCGGAATTTTAACTGAAAATGAGACTTGAACATGAACTGGGACTTAAAACATTAAAATATAGATTGAACCGGTCTGAATCGGTCTGGCCGGACCGCCGGCCTGCTGTGGCCGGGAGGTCGGCCGCTGGCTC